GTAGACCTTTGTCAAGTGTGAACAAAGTTCGCTCTATTACACGGCTTTACAGGAATTCACATGTTTCACAGGCGATGGAAACCAGCAAAATGCCCCCCTCCACGTAGCCAATCTGCTCTTTACTTATCTGTCTCTGCTATTCATAACACAGCAAATTCTTTTCCCCACAAATTCTTCAGGGTTGCTTTGCAAGAAGTGCAAATCAGCCAAAAAAATGTCCGTTTTTTCCGTGATACCCCATTACGTTTCATTGACAGAGTGGCCACGTGGTGATGTCGACGAAATCATAAGGTCACAACAGATACCAGGGTTGCACCGCAAAGAGCGCGCGTAAGAGTTCATGGTTCTTTAGTAGATATGGGTCTCTATAGGAGGAAGACCTTTTTAAATTTGTTTGGATACTTACGTGCATAGTTACAATTCAAGTGTAGAAATGTTAGCTGAATGAATGATTCTGCAGCTTTGGAACAGGAACACTGGGAACTATACGTGGCAGCTTCCTTCAATTAGACCGACGGCGGCTGTCCTGTGGTGAGAAATTTCGAGCTAATTTCAGTTGTAGTTTTGTAGAGCGGAAGACAAGATAGTGTTTCGTCTGAAAATGTCATGAAAAATGCATTCTACGCCAAATCGGAGTGGAATGCTCAGTCACACCTAATTCTTTCCCGAGATATGTGGCACAAATCTAACGCTAGGCAGATACATAGCAAACCCGCGAATACGTCGCTGTTTAACTATCTCACAATTAGGCAGTTGTATCCACAAATAATTAGCAGGAATGAAAACTGGCTTCCCAGGGGAACACGACCTAACCTAAAGAGGAAAGAACCTGCTACCTCTACGAATTATGAGAAATTGCTCGTTGAGGCAACGATTTGTATCCTAGTCCGTAATCGCTGAGGATATCTCACTTGGCCGGTTTGAGGGTGAATAAGGAGGCCTCCAGAGGTTTCCTACGAAAGTTTGGCTCCGCCCTCAGAGGTGGGCCTCTGGACAATCGTCACATGGCAGTACTGGAGCGTTCTTCTCCCACCATTATGTGCACTCAATGCTTCCTGCCATATGCCCATATAATGTCTGAAATCAACAGGGCTTGCTAAACGTATCTCCAACGGGATATTTTGTATCTTTCTGTGTCGGTAG